CAAAAACAAGGAATTCCTGTCATTTGTTCCTGCGTAGATGGGTGTAGAGAATACTAGGGTAAGTGAAATAAGCCAGGTATGGAAAGCAAACAGTACACATTCCCATTTAGATACTGAATCTGAAACAATCAAACTCAAGCAGAACGGAGAATGGGAATAATCAGAAGCCAGTGGTGGGAGGAGTGAGGAGGTGATGATCAGAGAATAGAAAAAATCTACTACATAGGATAGAGCTTTATTTTGTTGTTGTCTTGAGACCTGCCGCACAGCATGGAGACTATAGTTTAAAGTAGTGTATTGTACATTGCAAAACTGCTGAGAATAAATTTCAAAGATACACACAGACACATAGAACCCTAAGCTAAGCACAGAGGATACTGGGTGTCCACTGTACTCTAAAGGAAGGCCCTGGTGGAAAAGTAACCCAAGGGAGCCACCAACTACTGCCCCTTCAGAGCACAGTCCACTGCAGGCTGCTCCCAGGGAGCCAGTGCCTCTTGGGCCAATTGCAGGTAACATCCAGTCACCAGGCTCGGTGCAAGGATGCCCTTTCTGTCCTCAAACCTAGCGAAGCAGACTTTTCTGCTTTCAGAGCCCACCTGTGTGCATGGGAGCAGCCTCACCCTGGAGCCTGACACACCTGTGTGAGAAAGACAGAGCAAGAACAGAACGCACTTGCACTGAGACAGGTCTCAGATGAGTGGGTTTTCCCAAGGGCCTTGGGCACCCATGGGAGGTAGCTGGCCTTACAGGATCTTGGAAAAGGACACTGTCCAGAATGTGAAAAGAATTACGTTGAGTGAAATATACTGACCCTCTTTTCCTCCAAAAAAAGAATACACAGTCTAAGAGGCCAGCTACAAAACCCAAATCAATCAACAGTGCCTGGCACGGGACAGGTGTTGCCTCAGGATAGAGTAGGTTCAGGGAAGAGGAGACAGTCAGGTGTGGTCAGCCAGACAGCACACTGCCAGGGCTCTGGGGTGCTGGGAAATGTCCCAGTGGGAGACTTCCTGGGAAATCCATAGAAGATCCTGCTGGTATCCGGTGCACTCAGAGAACACAAAAGTAAGATTTTTCCTGCCTCTCACCCTCCCTCTCACCCACGCCAAACCCCACTCTGCAAGAGCTTGAGGCAGTCAGACAAACAGCACTGGTGTGGAAGAGTACAGCAGAGAAAGGGGCACGAAGCCAACCTGGATGCCCTTCTCTGCTGGAGATCTCCAGACCTGTGGCAGGAGAGCAGCTGAAAGATTTGCTCTCAATTCTTAAATCTCTAATGATGAAGAGTTTGTTAATCCTACAAGACCTGTAGTGTAGAAAAAACAAAGCTGTTTCCTGCTTTGCATAAAAAATAAAAATAAAAAGACATGAGAAAAAAGAACCTACAACTGGTACCAGTTGCTTGGAAGAAAACTTGGTTCGGTGGAGAGTATTATGGTTTATACCTACATTTCCTCCCCAAAACCTCATGGACTCACAGGTGGGACTTCACGGGGGTGGCTGGACGGGTCTAATGCCCTCCTTCCTCCTTGATCACTCTCTCTCTGCTCCTGGTGGCCATGCCTGAGCTTTCTCCTCCGCCATGCTGCCCTGCCTTCCCAGCTGACCATGGACTGAAGCCTCTATAAACCTTTTCTCCTTTAAGTCATGGGTGCTGGCCATTTTGTTCTAGCAATGAGAAAGTAACTAAGAGAACTAACACAGTTCCTTTTCTTAAATCTTGCTAATACAGCACTCGCTCTCTCCACTTCTCACCCACCAGAGACATGACCTAGACAGAGTAGGAGCCCCTCAGTGTCTCGAGCACCTTGTGCTGGGGCCACACCCGACTCACACGTGCATAATTGATGACAAAGACCAAGATGGCGCTCTCTGGATAATCTAAAGGAAACACGCAGCAGTACCTCCCTGTTCCTTCCGATCAGGGCTTCACAAGCTCAAGGCGTTTTAAACACCTGTTACCACTTGTGTAGTAACCACCTTGGTCAGCAGAATATGGACCCGAATTGTAAAGCAAGACTGATGAATTTGTGGAAAAATGATTGAGTAGTAAATGCACCAAGTTGGCAAATTGAATAGCTTTCTCTCTCTTTTTTTTTCTTTCCTTGTTTTCCTGAGACAGGGCTTTGTTATGCAGTTCAGGCTGGCCTTGAACTCACTTTGTAGCTCAGGTTAGCCCTAAACTCACAGCAATTCTCCTGCCTCAGCCTCCCATGTGCTGGGATGAATTGCTTTCCTGAACAACTAATAAACATTAGGCAGCCAAAAGTGGTGGGTGCTCCTGTTATCTCATCACTGAGAGACCCGGCCAAGGTAGTTTAGAGCCTCAGACTCCATCTCAAGACACAAACAAATAAAAAGAAGGCTGGGGATGTAGCTCAGTGCAAAGGCCCTGCGTTCAGCCCCCAGTACCTGAAAAAAAAATTAGACTTACTAAGATTTAAAAGATAAAATTAAACTGGGCATAGTGATGCACACCTGTTAATTCCAGTACTTGTGAGGTTGAAGCAGGAGGACTGTCCTAAGTTTGAGGCCAGCCTGGACTACATAGTAAGTTCCAGGCCAGCCTGAGCTAAACAGTAGGACCTTGTCTTCCCACTATCTCCACCAAAAATTAAAAAAAAAAAAAAGGATAAATTTAAAGCCATACCCCGGACACATGCACAGCACAGTACGGACATAGGTGTTGAATGTATTCAGATTTGCCATCCTGCTTTTTCTCCTTCTCCTATTAAACCAATGCACTAACTCTTAGAAGTCTTTCTATGCCTCCTAAAGAGAAGATGACAGGCATAAAAAACAACTTATAGGATAACTAAGGTTGATGACAACTGCATATTTCACAACGGTGAAGAGAGAGGATTTTGAGTTGTGAACACAAGAAAATGATGTATGTGTGAGGTGACAGATATGTCAGTTACCCAGATGTGATCATGTTCACTGCACACATGGATCTATATTGGAATCCCATGCTATATTCCATAAATATGTGTAATTACTGTGTGTCGTGTACAAATTACATTCATTGTCTAAAAATCTTATAATCTTATGACTTATGACCATTATTCAATGTATCACAAAGGTGACAGCAAAATCAGATTGCTCCAGGATTCTAAGGATTTTTTTTCCCTTTGTAATTTAAAATTACAGAGCATACAGAATATCTTAACAGCATATGGCTGATCTGATGTGATCATCTGAGGAGAATGATTCAGTCTCATGAAAAACTGCAAATTTAACCGTTGTGCATTAATTCATGCCAATTCTGTTCTCAAGACGAGTGCCAGGGACCTCCCACGTGAATTCCACATGCAAACATCTATTTAACTTGTATCACCGACTAAGTAAATATCACACGATAGACCACTTAGATATTCATTATGCAGGAAAATAGCAAATGTAAAAGGCTGGTGGTGTCAGGTCACTCACAAATCAATCGATAACTGTTTCCCAGTTTCAGTATCCCGAGGGAAGGTGAAGAGGAGCAACATCTGGGAAGCAACCATAATTAGCTGCCAAGGCACAGCTGGTTTTTAGCAGAGGTCTCCTTACTGATGTCGACTGCCCGCTCAAGGAAACTGTCAGTCATAGTACATCTTCGCAGGCTTCCATGAGCATTAAAACACACCTGCCCTCCACTGTCCTTCCTCATACAGAGTCTGAGACGCCCAAGGATCAGCTGGGTAGACCCACTCTGGCGCCCCAATGTGTCTAAATTGGGCAGAATTTGAAATCATCTCAGGGCACTACAGAACGAGGACCAAATGACTCAGTTTTCAATGTTCCTATTTTTGCTGCTTTCAAGGCAAGACTTTAGCATTTTCTAGGGACTACATGGCAGCTAGTCATCCCCCTCTGAAATGGCCAGGAATGGCCGAGTTTCTGCAAGAACTCACATTTCTTTTAAGCTTGAGCTCTCTTTGACACCACATTCATGGCACCAAGCCCCTGAGAATATTATCTTTTGTATATTAATTACAGGGCTAGCGCTACTTCTGTCTCCTGGGCGACAACGAACCAATCCACGGTAATGTATCTCATGTCACTGACTCATAAGCCAAGAGGCTGAAAACAAAAGGAAGAAAAGGAAGTTCGGCCATCAGACACAAGCTAAGCTTCACGACTTCCTCAATTTACACTGCATGACATAAACCACTGTTTGCAAAGCGCTGCCAACATTAGCAACAGAGCTCAGAAAGTACTGCTTTTTTTTTTATTTTCTGGTCCATATCAAAAACCAAGAGCAAAAGACTACTTAAAGGCATCTAACTGATGCCATGAATTGCTGTTAGGGGAACAGAAGGCAATCTCGAGTTGTGACAGATCAGATGCCCTCCCTATTATCAGCAAAGCGGGGGAAAAGACCCCAGTTCACCCCCGGAACCTTTCTGTGCCTTAACTGCTGGGAAGTCACGGCTGTGTGTTGTCAAATGCGCACACCGTCATTGGCGCACACACCTGTCCCTGCTGGAAGTGAGGCGTGCTGGGTTTTAAATGAAGCCAGGCTGTAGTTACTAAACTCTCCTGTCTATTTCCTGGAGGGAAGGCTTAATTAATACTTTGCCCAGAAACAATCCACACAAGGAATAGTTTTATTAAGAATGAAAACTGTAACAGAAATCCCCTCTCCCTGGGAGAGGCAGTTTTCTTACTATACTTTCCTTCCTCTTTTCCACTGAAATCTTGCCTCCTCCTTTCTTTCCTGGGGTGCAGGTGGTGCTAAGGAACTGATGCATAAGAATTGGTGGGGAAATGTCCCCTCAACTACCCAGGATGCTCAGTGCCACCACTCAACTCCAGGTCACAAACGAAGGCAGGCCCTTATCACCTGAGCAACTATGCTGTTATGTCATACCCATTACATGTTTCTTTCGTCCCTGGTTAACGGTCAGGTTGCAGGAAACAAGTTGCAACACACTTGGCTTACACCACTCTTCCCACCTCAACAGAAACCACACCCACTTCCCCCCTGGATTCTGCTGTCCCTCAAACCTTACCCTGCCCAGGAGATTGTCCTGAAGCAGCGTCTGCTGCAGCACCGGGGCCACTTCCTCCAAGCTCAGCATGTGGCAAAGGTCGGTGAGCTCCTCCTGTCCCAAGGACCCGGTGCCTGTGGTGTCAAAACTGTCAAACAGCTCCTTGAGTCGGGCCTCATGCTGGTCCTGCTCCAGCTCATCCATCCCATAGCCCACAGCGCTCACCTGTGCAGGACAGAGACAAGGGCAGGTTGGGGCAGGTCAGTTTTGGCACACTTACCGGGCCAGCCAACACCCCTCTGAATGTACAGCATTCTATTTCTAGGACACCCCACAGGGCTCTCTAGTAGTTCTCAGCCATGGTCACACAGTCACACCAGGGGCAGATCATTACCAGAACAAGGGGGTCACACAGGCGGAATATTCCCTCTTCTGCCCAGATAGGGGGCTAATCTGCAAATCCAAGCCCAAGAGCTGCTCTCTCTCTGTCAGCTCATCTGGCCAGCCCTTTAAAAAGGTGACAGGCCATTTCTGACAGTGAGGTCAATGAGCAGACTGGTAGCTCCAACTGACTCCACAGCCAGGGCCTTCTCGAAAGTCAGCAAGCTCCTGACGCCAGCCCAGATGCTGCCATCGGGCAACCTGGCCTCCCAGATTAGCTTTCTTTCGTCCAGCCTCAATGCCCCTGGGATAGATACATAGGAGGGCTGCAGAGAGAGCCACTAGCTGAACACGTCTGCTACAAAACCACCTCCCTGTTTACATGAGACCAGATGCCTTTTATACAAGCCCTTCCAAAAGCAACTCAATTAACTTCATTGGTGCAATTACAGGAGGTGTGACAGAAGAGTATTCCCCGAAGCTCCATGGAGTCCCAAGGAGCTTGTGCTAAGGCTTAGTTGCCTAGGAAGGGGAAAACACCACCCCAGTCTTTCTAACAGGAAGTCTGAAGGAGCCATGGGCTGCCTTGTACAAAGATGTGTATGACCTGCACCAACTTGGGGTGCCTCCCCCATCTCAATTGCCTCACCCTGTACCCCTGGGCTGCCCCTCTGTTGTCTCTCTGACCCATCCCAAGGCTGTCCATAATTTCACCACTCTCCTTAGGATGGGTTAAAAACCTGGAGTCATCAATAACTCTGAGTCATGTTTTTACTAAAAATACCTATTGTAAAATTCCAGGAACTTGACACTTTAAAATATTTTTTTCCTTGCACGATAACTGATTTTTCATGTGGCAGAGCTTCCAATGCAGGCTTGAAATCTGCACATCTGGAAGAAACCAGGCCATGATGTAATGGATGCTAAGCACAATACGTTCCCTTGAGACGGTGACCTCAGCCTTCAGCAACAAGGCTCTCAGCCAGCCCTGGTCTACACAAAGCAGCACCTTTAATGAAGGGCAGGAGGAGCAGCTGTGAGGTAGTGTGTGTGCTTAGCCTGGGTTCAACTCCCAACCCTGCCATGACAGCAAAAGCAGCACTTTTTCCTAAACCAACCCCTGGCTCAGAAACTCCCTGAGTCAGGTGGTGTTCCAGAGTGCAGATCATTACTACGTGGGCAACAGGTAAGTTAAGATGTTGAACACAGCCAGAGCTGAAGGCAAAAGTGCTTTCAGTGATCTATCAGTAGTACTGCTCTAGGCCAGTGGTGGCAAGCTAGGGCACTCGTACCCACTGAAAACTTTAAAAGGTTCACCATCACTGCTCTAGACTGCTTGCTTTCTTTTCAAATCAACTGCTCACAACATGACAAGCAAAATAGAGCCAAGGCCTTAGCAAAACTAGGTAGATTCAGAAGATGAGTTTGACCAGTTCTGCCACAAGCTCATTGTTTACACAGGCCATTTATTAAAGCCACATGGCACAGTTAGGGCCCGCTCTGGGTCTTGGGAGGTCTCTTCTCCTATTAGCAGTTTTTCTATTGCTAAGGTGCTGTTGGCACTGGCTGCCTTCCCAGGGTTGGTCTGCTGGTTTAACTAATCACTATGTAAATGTTTTCCAAATATGTTCAGAGTGCTATATAAACATCAAAGCAGCAGAAAAGAAATACAAAGCGCAAAGCCACAAGAGGTAGCAGTTCAGACAAGGCCAAGGCTTGGCTAATGAGATTCACCTAGGGTCTGCCAGCTAATTGTCAACTTAGTTCTGCTGAAAATCTGAGATGCTCTGGGATTTTCTGTGTTGCCACAGCTCTCAGGCTCACTCGGAGTTTTTGGGTCCCCTGGGCCATCATCTGATCAACTTAAGCAAAACCAAAGTATTGTACCTTTGATTTTTCATATTTAAAAGCAAAAAAAAAAAAAAACAGTCATAACACTTCCTTTTTACAAAATTATTTTTAAGGGGTAACAACTTGTCCATTTAATGAAAGAGCAACAGAATTCATAACTGTACCGAAGAAGTTCTGATCTTATTTGCTGCTTTGAATTTGATAAGCTATCATGCCCTGCTTTGAGGAGGAACCGGATTTCATGAAAACAAACTTCTTTCACTTAATCCCATGTTTCCTTTCTTATCTCTCTCCTTTATCTTCTCCTTCCCAAGACACTAGCTTAAGAAAATATTCCTTTGACTGAAGGGTGGTGGGGGAAGTCCCACCCCCAGGACAAATGCTGCTGCAGAAACCTCCAGAAGATGTCACCCATGGTGACAAGTTGTCACTGCTCATCTGGCAGCCAGAGCATTTTGTGGGTTGATAATGTTCTCCAAATGTTCATCAGTAATTTCATGTGCAAGAATTTTTTCTCTGCACTTCATAGAAACTTCTCAAAGGGTAAGGTCCACACCCTCTATTTCTTATATGTCATCTACAAAATGAATAGCACACCAGGGACTCAATAAAACCAAGGACTGGCTTGCTATAAGGCTATTCTTTGAGAGGAAACTTACCCTAAATGGGCTGTATAGAAATGAGCAAACAAAAATGTTTCAAAATACCCATTTTTTTCCACAAGCACACATTCATTTCCCCTTTTCTGCTCTTTTGCAGGGCATTTTCAGTCTTAGACATGACCAAGCTGAAGAGGGGGCCACCACTGACTACCAAACCGTACTACACAGAACCACTTGGAAGCTTAATTCAACAGGTTATTAATGAAGCTAATGCACTCACAAACTACGGCTGCATTTTTGGTTGTTGTTGTTCCTATGGGATGAAACTTTGGAGGAGAATCTGCTAAAACACTTCGTCAAGTTCTTTATGAGAATAACATGCTGTACCCATCTGGAAAGACTGTTCTGAGGGTTAAGGATGGCAGGTGTATGAGTGATCAATCCCAGAGAAAGTGGACACAACAGGAGAATTGAGAAACCACCAAGGAAAATGCCTGAGGCTGATGAAGGAGGCATACACTTGGGAGAACAACTCAAGTTAACCAGCCATAAACCTACCTCCCATGGAGCAGAGCAGGAGATGTGAGCTGCACAGAACAGAGCTTGGACAGTGAGAGTACAATGTATATAATCATCATTCTATTACTACATGAGGAGGGTGGCAGGTGAGGTTCAGCACTTCCTTGATCTTTCAGGGCAGATTACTGCTATCTGTTAGTGCCAAAACCAGAAAGACTGAAATGTAGCTAGGAATGCAAAAGAAACTATTACCATCTATTTACTTCTGAGCGTTTGCTAGGAGTCTGGCTTATGTATATTAATCTTCACAATTCTTTGAAGTAGCAACATATCTACCCACTTAAGAGGCAGAAACTGGAGTTTGGGAAATTTAGGCAACTTGTCCAAGGATATAGAACTAATATAAGCTCAAGCTAAGCCTTGAGCTCTAGTGTGACTTTAAAGCACACCGTCTCTCAGTGTACACAGAACACAGGAAGGAGACCCCTGGAATAATGCCCCTGGCAACATCACCATCTTGGTGTGTCAGCCAGCTAAACAGTACTGAGTACCAAGTCACCCTGGACCACTTCCTGGTCACTCACTTTTCTAGCCTAGAATGGGGAAAGGTGGGGTCATCTCTCCCTGCATCCTCAAGCCCATTTAATGATTACAGTATACAAAGCTCTAGGGAAACAGACAGAATAAGCACTCTTTTTCTAAAGCAGCTTTGGGATTTGGGACCAGAAAGTCATAAATTGTTATATAAAATGACCATGAAGAACCCCTTATCTTCAACAATGGGTTTGGCCAGGAACTGGTAACTATTTACATTGCTTCCCCCTAAGAAATATGTAACTGTATCTGACATGTGTAATCTAATGTCCTGCTGAGTTGACACCTAACTAGCACCCTCAGGGGGCTAGAATCTTACTTGGAGATTTTAAAAGTTTGCTTCTGGGCAATAAATTTCCCTTCCAGTTGCAAAGAACAATTCCAGTTTTATGAAGACTGCCATAAACCTGGGCCTTTCCTCACCAACAACCTTCTCAATCACATGGTCAGAAGCTTTTATGACCCTATTGGATAAAGGGGCCAGCGTGGGCAGTATTTTGGCATTCTAACTGGGGCGAGTTAAATAAGAGGCAGATGCACAGAGCTATTAATCAAAACATTTACCACCCAGCAGCCACCCAGAATGACAATTTTTGGAGTACCTTCCTTCCAAAAACCTCAGCACAAGGCTGCCAAAACGCTGCGCTCTGACAGGGTGTCCATTATGGATCTATGTGGTTATGTGCCCCTCGGGAATCCCAGATGATGGTGTCACAGAGCCATCGAGGACTGCAAAGGAACTGGGTGGAGGTACGGCTGGAATAATGCAGTTCCCAGCAGAAGGCCAGCAGGAAGGGCATATGTGAACCTAAGAACCTGCTAGCATCCCGAGTATAGAGAGCATGTAAGAACGGCACCCCAGCCAATGAGCTGGGATAGAGGAAGTGAAAGGGGACAAAGTCTGGCAAATGAAAAGCAAATAATAAATAAGCACAATGCCAGAGCCCCTGGCCCAGCCTTTTATTTCCCCTCCAGATGGTCCAGCAGCTGAACAGCTCTGCGGAATGTCTGAACGCCTCTTGGTTCAGCCTCTTGGCTTTCCAGGATCATAATAGACACTCCGAACCAGTGCTCAGACATAGCTCTTGGGGGTCCACAGACCAGGCAGTGACCACTAAGTGACTAATTTACTTCGGGAGAGAAGTGATGAACACAGACAAATGCTCTTGGTGAGGCTTTTCATTAACGCCTTAATTTTCCCTCTGGCAAGTTGGAGGCTAATGCTCCCCCTGAGTACAATGTTTCTTTTTCTTCTATCTCTTTTGCAGAGTTTTTAATCTGCAGCAAAGATTTCCAAGTTTACCACCTTGCATTAATTTCAGTAGAATGGGAAATAGGAATGAGAGTAAGTTTAGCAAAAACTCAACAGAAAAAGCAACTGCCCCCATCTGCATGTTTGCATAGGACACTTCTGCCAAAAGCCACTGCTCACTCTCATGCTGATGACTGTCTGCTGTGTCTCTGCTCAAACAGCACCTTATTTTTGCTGGATCCCAAGAGAAATGCAGTATCACCATGGATTTAAAATTGTGGTATAAAAATATTACACAAAAGCTTAAATGTCACTGCACAGGGGAAAATATAGTAACATTTATGTAAATCTGAAAGAAAATAACCTTTGCTAACTCTACTAGAAACTTTGAACTCAAAGTATTCCACTAGCATTTACTTTAAAATACAAATGACCATTAATAGTTTGACTATCCTAAAGGTTGTATCCAACCCAGGCTTTTGTCAAACCAACAGCAGGTGGACTACCCAATCAAGTAGTTAATGCAGAGTAGCTGGAAGAAAAAAAACTAGCTTAGCATAATGTGGATTCAATAACCTATAATCAACTCCTAAGTAAAATTAGAGGAGCAGAAAACAAAGCTGTGTTTTTTTTTTCTAAAAGAGAAAGCTTATAACAATTCACTTTTTGAGCCATATTTATTCAAATCAATATAGGCTGGCTGAAGCTACAAGTACAGTTCCCTGGGGTATAAGAGCTTCTACTCTCACACCTGTAAACACCATTCTCTCAATTTTGTGTTTTAAATTAGGTACAGATGCTTTGTCATCTTTCCCAAGCTGTCTCATTGCTGGCACAAACTGCACTAAGCATACTAATTTCCAACAAAGTTGTTCATCTTCATAAAATACTATTATCTTCTAAAAATTTCATCCTATGAGTAAATGAGAAAAATATCTTTTTGCAAGATTCAGGAACTCTTCCCCACAAGTCCCTACCCAAGAGATGCAACAGCCAGAATTCAAACCGAATTACTTATTGGCTTACAAAAGAATAGACATCTATACAAAAGAAGCCTTCTGAAAAGGCTCTGAGCTTTCCTTAAACTTGCAAACCCTTTATCAATGTAAAGCCGATTAAATGTATTTTCATTATCAACGTAAAATGGAAGCATCAAGACTGGCAAAATGCTGGTTTAGAAAGTCATTTGCAGTGACATTTAAAACAATTTATTTGAACATCATTTGACTCATGATAAGAACACTGCCTATTAAATTAAGATTGGCTGTTCAGAATTCATTGGAGCCCTAGTCTCCCCAAGTGAGTTGACATCTTTTGATGTTAAGGGGCATTACATATCTAAAATGAAAACAGGAATAAGAAAAAAGAAACCCAGACCATTCTGAGCAAGTGCCTATTAAAATGACTGATCCTTGACATTTTCATGCCAAGACCTTGCTTATGATGGCTTCCTCTTCTAGCCTCAGTGAAGCCCTTTCCTGGGCTGCTTAGGTCTCTAACCCATTTGCTTTGTGTACAAAGTAGCTCAGAATACTTGCTTCCAAAGAAACCCCACAGAACAGGTGAAGAGAAACAAAGCCCCTCAGAAGTTCACAATCACCTTCTGAAGAACAGGACAGCGGAAGAGACCACATGAACTCATTTTTCAACCACCCTGAAATGTCATTCTTACGCACTCTGGGAATTTCACAGCTACCTTCAGCTCCACTGCAAGATTATCCAATATTCCAGCTCAGTCACCAATATATGCTCACTACTAGAGAAGCCTCAAGATAAAGCTATGCCGATTGAAAAAAATACAGTTCTTTGCAGACCGTCGAGCCCGGGGAAGCATTTAGACAGGCACATTTACGTTAATATTATCTAAAGAAGCCCAGCAGAAAGATCTTCCCGTCCCAGGAGTCCAGTTCCTGAGCCATGCTGGACTTCATCAGAATTCTTACCTTCAAAAGCTACCCTCTCATTCCCCTAAGGCAACTAGGCAATTTGATTTGATTTAATGAACTCAGGAGTTTAGTCAGACGGCAATCCTGTCTCAATAATTCCTCTACATTAGGAGGGAGATCTATCCCAGTTAACTAGAGAGAGCTGAGGATGTCACCATCACTACACTGTTTAGGAAAGCGAAGTGGCAACATTTCCAGCACCCATTCGATTTGCCCTTAAATCTAGTTTGTCAGGGCTGTGTCCAGGACAACTGTCCATCTCCCTCTCACCAATTTTACCCAGGAGCTTTAAGCCGTGATTGTTCCCTCACCGGTTCAGTGCTTGTGTGTGGGGCGGTTTGGTAACAAGCTTAGACCTGGATCCCCGCATACACCTCCCCTAAGGTCCTACTTCATCGCCCACTTTCCACCAGCTCCTCCGGTTACCACAGCCTTAGCGCAATGACCCCGAGTGTCCCCCTTCTCGCATCGGGAAAGCCTGTGCACCTGCCTGGACCCCACACACCTTCCACCATCTCCACTTTAAAGGCTTCCAACAGCTCTGCGCTCACAGCCGAGGTTGTCCCCTCGGGGCGCCCACGCAGGTCTCTCTTCAGCCCCCGTCACGGGGCACTGACCCATGGGATGGGCACCCTTCTGCCCGATCTGGGGCTCAGGTCCGTTCCAGGACCAACGCACGGCAGCATCTTTCAGCTCCACGCCACCCGCCGGGGCCAGAGCGCGGTCACCAGGGACGGACCTGACCCACCGGGCTCCCGACAGCCGCCGGTGTCCCCGGGCGGCAGCGCGCCCCCGCTCCCCGACCCGCCGCCTACCTTCGGTCGGCCTCTCCGCAGCGCCCGCACAGCCGGCCGCCTGCCTCCCGCGCTCTGCAAAGCAAGCAGGGCGCTTTGTTAGGGCTCGGGGCGCGCGACGACCCTCGGCAGCCGGCGCCGCGGTTCCGGGCGGGCGTCCTTCAAAAGGACGCGCTCGGGGACCCGCGCGCGCGTCATTTCCATTTGTAAGGGGCCGCGCGTACAAAAGCGCGGCGGGCGCGGGCCGCATCCTCCTGCTCCTCTCCTCCTCCTCCTCCTCCTCCTCCCCCTTCTCCGGCTCCGCGCCCCGCCGCCCCTCCTCCCCGCGCGTCCCCGAGCCACCGGCCCGGCCACCCCTTCCTCCGGCGCCGGCCCGAGACCCGGGGGCAGCCCTGGAGGGCGCTGGGGCCCCGCGACGGCGCCCGGGCAGCGCGAGGCCTCTGCGCGCCCCCAGCCGCGGTCCCCGCGCCGCGGCCCCCGCTCACCGCCTACCGGGGCTCAGGCGCCCGGCGCCGCCGCGGGAACCATGGCGCGGTGCTTCGAGCTCGGCGGGCGGCAGCAGGCGGCCGCGCCCTGAGCTCAGCTCCCCGCTCAGCCGCCGCCACCCCGAGCTCCGGACGCCAGGAGGAAGCGCAGGGCCGCGCGGAGGAGGAGCCAGGCGACGCCGGCCGGGGGAGGAGCGGGTGGCGCCGCCCGGGAGCCCGGCCCCGGAGATCTAGCTCGCGGACGCCGGCGGGGAGCGCGCGGAGGGACCTCTGCCCGCCGGTCACCCTGACTTCTGGACGCGACCCGGGCCCCGGGTTGCTGCCTCCTGCGGGACCCTAGTGCGAGGACTCAGATCCCCGTTTGCAAAACCTCGGGCAGCCCTAGAGTTCCCAGCCCCAGGGAGCCCCTGGCCGTAGTAGGGAGAAGCATCCAGGGGGCGTCAGAGTCTGCCGGAGACCCTGAACCTCCTCCTGCACGTCGGTGGCACCGCACGTGCCGCCGCGTCCTCGCAGGTCGCCGCCCCCATGAGCCAGGTGAGGGCGCCTCGGACCCTCGGCGACACTGCACTGGTCCGGACCAAACCTCTTGGAGTCTGTTCCCAGGTCGGCGGGTCCCGGGCATTCGCCGCATCCTCCCACCCTCCTCTCGCAAAACCCTTTTCAACCCCTCTCCGTCCCGCACTTCTACCTCAGTGCGGCCAGAACGGATCCCAAGTCCACCCAGGGGTGACGGCCCGAGCCAACACGCAGGGTCCACTGCGAGCTACACGCTTAAACGACTTGATACCACCCACAAGTCTGGTTATTTCCGCGAAGAAAGCTGAAGAAAGCTCCCGCTGTTAAGCAGAACACAAGCTAAGACGGGCGGCAGCCGGCAGTCACTGGGAATCCAGTGTGCTGGAAACGCCGCTGCAGAACTGATCTTCGCAGAGAGACCTCACCGCAGCTACCCAGAGGAGGCAGCCGTTAGAGCACCGTGCAAAGAGGAAACCAGATCTCCCTGGATCCAGAGACCTCGCTAGAGAACACATGGAAAGCACTGGGCAGAGCTGGGCTTCCGAAGCGAATCAGATAGGTGGCAAAACTGCACAGAACTAAACACATACGCACACACACGCACACGAGCGCTTGAAACACGGACAAAATGTGAATAAGGCCCTTTGTATTAAGCTCACTTCCTGATTGTGCTATCTTGCTACAGTTAGGCAAGGCCAAATGTTACCATTGGGGAGAAAAGTGGGTGATCCCATTAGGGGATCGCTGTTATTTCTTACAATTTATGCAAACCTACATTCATCCCCAAATAGGTTTTTTTTTTTTTAATGAAAGCAGATCGCTTATTTTAAAATCCAAACTCTTCATTTGGCACAGTGCACACGATAAATAAGAAGAAGCACGTCATGCTTCTCTTTCTCTTTTTAATGCTTTCAGGTAAACACACCCACATGCCATGAGCGCGATTGTCCAGTTATAGGACAGCAGCACGGAGCACTCATTAATCTGCTACCAGAATACTTACATAGGTGTCATCTTAAAAATAAGACGATGGTGTGCACCGGGCACTCAAACAGCTGGCGGTCTTAAGAGATAAGAATGAAGAGGTGGCTTCCTGATCCTACTCTGCCTCTGGCAGCCTCCTCCTCCTAGTTATCACTCCAGGCAAAAATCTTTCCGAAGGATGCATGGCTTGCTAGTTTAAAGCTGCGATATCTTGGGCTCAGGAGATACTGGAGGTCACATTTGCTCCATGGAGGAAGGTCAGACTTGCTGGTGGTTGTGTAATTAGAGAAACACAAGACACAGTTTCTTGAGAGGAACAAACGGGGTGGAGTTCGTGTGGGGACTTGGAACTGGGCCCCCTCCGGCTTCGATGTGGAGGAGGGAGAGGCAGCTTGGCTGCTGCAAGACGCAAGCTTTGTGGAGAGAGCCTTTGGGGCCCGCCTTTCTTCGACACAATGCTCCTACAGTTACGGTGCTGGGTGAAGGCTGAGTCTTCATCCAGACTAGAGTTGTTGGGGAAAAAGCAGAGACTCCATCACTTAAGCTTTGTCCATTAAACAAAAATAACAGCGTACATAGAGGCCGGGCATCCATTCTATATTGCATGGGATACAAGGAAAAATGAAGAGATGTAGATATTTCCCCAGAGATAACACCTTCTACAAACCAAACTTCAGTCTTATCTGTTGCAGTTTGTGTGTTTCTGCTTTTAACTCCGATTTTGGAGGGGATCTGGGCTTCCCCCAAGTGTGTGGATGTAACATTTTCGAGAGGTCTTTTGCTGCATTTCATAGTATTAACCTGAGTTTTTCACCTGCATAAAAGCTTTTAATAAGCTAACTAAAGGATAATTGAGGAAAGAGAATGTTACTCCTTGTTTCTTCTTTCTAAGGCAACTTTGTAAGATCAACTTACAGTTAGGAATTGGAGAGAATTAATAAAATGAATTAGAGTCAGGAGAGGGAAGATGGGAATGTGAAAAACTGAATATGAATTCAGGTTTTGTAAATTTTCTGGGATCTGAAGAGCAGTCTCCTACTTTTCCTGGCCAAGGAAAGCCCAAGCCTCTCACCATCTTCAGTCTCCCTCCCCACAAGTCATAGTTGGGTATACCTTATTTCTTACCCACAGAACAGCCAAAAATTTCCAGTAGCAACTGCCAGTGCCTTTCAGCTTCTCTCATGGAGGTCTTGTTGATCCCTCAGACCACATGAACTCAGCAGAATGGTCCAAGTAAGTTGGGGTGAGTCATCGGTGAAAGCAGGTTACCAGCTAACAGTGCAGTCCATGTACTGTCTGGGTGTAAAAAAGGAACATCTTACTCTTTCTAGGGTCCAAAGAAGGGCAGATGGTAAGAACGGTAGAAGGAGGAAGGGAAATGTATGAGATCCGGACACACAGAGCAAGGCCTGGGAGTTTTAGCAGCAAGATGTTGTTGGTAAGAACCCAGAAATAAAGGAGAAAATGCACAGGATTTACTCTTGAGAAACCCTCAGTAGGAATTAGGATTTTCTTTTCACTTCTCCTTATGGAACATATGAAAGAAGAGGAAATGGATGCAAAAAGAGAAAAAAGAATGAACAACTATTCTATGCCCAGGACTGCCTTGATGTTCAAAACAAATTTCAACCATAGTTCTTACCCTTGAGGTTGAGGAATGTGTCATTCCTTCTTGGGGAAGCCAAAATATGCACACATTAGACAGTAAGGGAATGGCAGGAAGTGGCATTGGATTCTAATAAGGTCCTCCAGTTGGGGGACACACATATACAATAGCATGGTGGAGAAGAAGACCATGACAGTCCTGAAACATGGCATCCACAGTCACTCAGACCCTTGTCTTCAGCTTCCTAAACTCAGTCTCCTTCCTAGCGTGCAAGGCCCTACTGAGTCATGGGACATGTATTACCTTCAATGTCTGCAGCCAGTACCCTCCACTTTATTCGTAGGAGCCTCTGAATCTTCCCTCTGCTGCTTTCTGCCCATATAACCAGTCCTATACCACATTTGCTGTCTTCGGTCTGATATTTGACCTAGAAGTTAAAGCCAAGCAGGAAGTGGTTATTGAACATGTGTCTTTAGGATCTCATGAGTTGGGCATTTAGGTGCTTCCCAAATACTTGGTCCTCACAGGGAGAAGAGATGTGGCATGTGGGCATGAGAATGGGGGTCTGATTTTCACTTCTTTTTTATGTGGCTGGAATCTAGAAATGTCCTACGGTTCTAAAGTGCCAAAGATTACTACTTCAACTTCATTCGAAAGGGAAGGAAATGAAATTTTAGTTTAAGAAACACTGATGTTCCTTCCCCTAAACACTTAGCCAATTTGATATGAAATTTTTACTTTTTTTAAAAAGACCTTTGAATGGAAAATGATGTAACAGGGTTTCCAAGCAAGTCTACTTTGAATTTTCTGGAATTTGATGTTTACACAAAAGAAATGGAGACTTAGAGTCATATATTTAGATAGCTCTGTCCAACAGAAATGTAATATAAGTCACATAGATAACTCAAAACTTTCTAGTGGCTACATTTTTAAAAAGTAAAGTCAGAGCTGGGCATAGTGGTACTCACCTGTAACCATAGCACTTGGGAGGCTGAGGCAGAGGGGTTGCCATGAGTTCAAGGCCAGCTGGACTACATAGCAAGAGTCTGTCTCAAAAAAAAAAAAAAAAAAAAAAAAAGAAAGAAAAAGAAAAAAAAGAAAAAAAAAGGTAAAGACAAACATGCAAAATTCTCATATTTAATTGACTTTAATAACTCCCAAAATATCTCTTCAATGTATAACAGTAGGATTAATGAGATATTTTATATTTGTTTTGGCACTAAATCTTTGAAACCTGGTGTGCATTTTAGCCACATGGGACTAATAATAGCTGCCATAAATAACGATGCTGGAACAAGAAAAGGATTCCGAATTCATCTCACCTAGTCCTCTTATGTTGAAAAGGAAATGAGGTCCCAAAACCTCTATCTCCTTGTCAAGATCACACAGAGGATGAGTCAAACATGGATCTTTGCCCTAGGCCCGGCCCTTCCACCTGCCCGCTGGTACCTGCTTCCTGGATGGGTTTATGGTTGACCCAAATAGCTAGGGAGGAATAAAGCACAGTGTTGAAAAGCATTTAAAAAAATTTTTTTTAAAAACCCCAGCACCTTCTTAACCTCATGGCACTCCAAAAGTATTTTTAAAAATAAAATTTCAGAAGCAAATGGCCCATAGACACTGTGTTAATACTTGGAAATGACAGCATGATAGAGCACCTTCCTTGCTGAGTTCACCAGCTGCTTTCTGCTCCACCTCAGCATCTGCCTGACACCCAGCAGAGAGGCTGGAGACCAAAGGCACTGGCTGTCCGGCGCTGTGCACCCCCCAGGGAGGCATAAGAGGGACCATTCAGCATCCCGAACCCTCCACCCTCCCAACAGCAGCCCCCGCCAGCCTCCCGAGGATGCAGCTTTTCCATGATTAATTTCAAATGCCTTAAAGTAACCCAACAACATTTTTTCTTCTCCTCTGCACATTTTGCAGCATCTTGTATTTTGAATTAAGGCAAAATTGAAATGCAGAAAAAAATGACCCATTCAAAACCAGAAAATTGAGACAGCACTGGTTCCCCCAGTGAGACACTGGGGAGTGAAGTGGATGGTGATAAGTCTTTGCAGCTGGATTGATGAGTATGCAATTAGAGGCAGCGTTAAGCAAGCACCCTAAAGATCTTTGATTTGCATTTTGTTTTCAATTAGGAGAGTATGGGCCTGGTTTTCTAAGGATAAAATTTAGATTTCTTTGCACCAAAATATTGAGGTCAAAGTGATGATGATGCTTTGTGGCAATGAGGCCTGTAAGTCATTTTTAATCTGCATAAAGCGCCGCTGAGCAGGCTGGTGCATTGGAGCGAATGCTGAGATGCCCAGGTGTCTTACTCTGAATTTATCTGGTGCTTGATTATTAAGCTTTCTTTTCCCCACATCACGCAGCCTTTCTCTGGGTCACTCAAAGTGCAAACAAAAAAAGGTAAAAGCAAGCAAAATCAGCAGGGAAAAAAAGTAGTGTGTATTTATGTGTCTGGTAACAGATCAAAATCAGGCCATGTTTGTGGGTGAATATGGGTGTGTGCCTGAGCCCCAGGTGTACCCTATGGTTCTATGCTCTTCTAGAATGTTCCCTGCCATTCTCTTCCTGCTCATTGACTGAAGAGGGTGACCTAGAGATACTACGTTCACTGATCCAGATGTCTCATTAGGTTCCACTGAGGAATCACTGGTAAAAGACTCGAGGGAAGCGGGAACATGAGATTGGGACATTTACTTATCCAGTCCCTCTCAGTGTCAGGAGCTCTCCAAGCCTTGCCCTCCTCACGTTAGGGAGGTCCACGCTTGGCAAGGACACCCCATTGCCAGCTTCCAGGCAGTGGCATTCTGGTTTCTCTGAATCTACCCACACTTTTGCAAATAGTCTCTGTATGTCAAGCTGGCTGGAGTGAATCCACCATTTCCTGCTGAGATCTCAACTGATAATGTAGGTATGCACACAATTGATAATGTAGGTATGAGCATGTGGTGTCTTGGGTTTTTCCATGGCCCGGAATCATCTTAAGTCTCTTCCCCAGAAGCAGACCCTGAGATGTGGATTTATTTGTCTCAAGACAAAGTTTTTGATTATCAAAAGAAAAGCAATTTTCTCTGTCTGTCTGTCTGTCTGTCTCTCTTTCTCCTTCCTTTCTTTCTTTCTGAAGGGGTCTTGTCATGTAGAACTCACTATATATCCCAGGCTAGACTCAGCTTCCTAGTGATCCTCCTGCATCAGTTTCCCAAGTGCTGGGATTACAAGTGTGTGCCACCACACTCGGCCATAATTTTCTCTCTATCAATCAGAAATAAGTTGAAATCAGTCAGTATCAGGGGACACACAGAGTAAGCCACAAAAACTTCATTTTTAAAAAATCTCCAGGAGGAAAAGTTCCACTGGTACAAAATGCCTAAACGCAATTAGTTGTAAAAATAGGAAAGCGTGCATTTATTCCCCTCACATGCCATCAGAGGACAAAAGCCAAATGCAGAGCTATATCAAAGATAGCAGGGACCGCCCTGCTGGGGAGGAGCAAGAGAGGGAAGGAAGGAGGGAGGAAGCTGCACAAAGGTGCTGTCTCAGTCAGTCTTAACCTCCACCTAATGCTGAGCAGCTCTGGAGCATAAATTAACCTAGGCAGTGTTCACCCTGACTTGAGTCAGGGGAGCTGGGCCTCCAGTCTCCTGCAGCAATAAATCATCTGCAGAGAAGGTCCAGGAGCCTGTAGCCCTCTGTACAAATGGGCAAAGCCCAGTGGCCCTCTGAAGGTGTCTGGGCCCAAGCACACTGAGGCTGAGGCATGGGCATAGAGAACCAGGGAACAGATCCACGGGCACATGGGAAAAGCATGATTAATTTACCGTTCGCATAGATCCCTTGTAACTTAAAGGTATTTGGGAAAGGCAGATGTGCTGATTATCACCTGGCTAGCAAGAAAGCTATTGGTAGAGAGGAGAGTTATCTTTAATGCTTTGG